CCTTTTGGGAAGTCTGAAGTCTTCTGCCAGTGTTCAGTAGGTGTTCTGTAGGAGCTGTTCCTCATGTAGATGTATTTTTGATGTTTTTGTGGGGAGGAAGGTGATCTCCACGTCTTACTCCTCCACCATTTTGAAGCTATCTCCTTACTGTAGTTTTGATTTGCGTTTCCCTGATGATTAGTGATATTGAGCATCTTTTCATGGGCTTATTGGCCATCCTTTTACCTTCCTCAGAGAAATGTCTATTCAAGTCCTTTGCCCATTTTTTGAGTTTTTTTTTGGTGAGTTGTAAAAGTCCTTTATATTGTCGGGATGTTAATTCCTTATCAGATACGTGATTTGCAGATATCTTCTCCCATTCCATGGGTTGCCTTTTCACTATGTTATATATTAGTGTCTTTTGACGCACAGAAGTTTTTAATTTGGTGAAGTCTAATTTATCTGTGTTTTGTTTTGTTGTCCTGTTCTTTTTGGTGTCATATCCGAGAAATCATTGCACATTCCAGTGTCATGAAGCTTTTCCGCTATGTTTTCTTGTAGGATTTTTTTAGTTTTAGAAATTACATTTAGGTCTTTGATCCATTTTGAGTTAATTTTTATATATGGTATAAGGTAAGGACCCAGTTTCATTCTTTTGCACGTGGATATCCAGTTTTCTCAGTAAGTCTTGTTGACAAGACTACCTTTCTCCATTGAATGGTCTTGACACCCTTGTCAAGTTACTCATCACTGTATATGTGAGGGTTTATTTCTGGGCTCTGTATTCTATTCATTGGTCTCTTCTTGCCAGTACCACAGTTTTGATTAGTGTAACTTTGTAGTAAGGTTTGAAGTCAGAAAATGTGAGACCTCCAACTTTGTTCTTCTTTTTCAAGATTATTTTGACAATTCAGAGTCCCTTGACATTCCATATGAGTTTTAGGATGGATTTTTTTCTATTTCTGCAAAAAAAAAAAATCTTTAGGATTTTAATATGGATTATATTGAATCTGTAGATTGCTTTGAGTAGTGTTGACATCTTAACAATATTAAGTCTTCCAGTCCATGAACATAGTATGTCTTTCCATTTATTCATGTTTTCTTTAATTTCTTTGAGCAATTCTTTGCAGTTTTCAGTGTACAAATTTTTGCCTCCTTCGTTAAGTTTATTCCCAAGTATTTTATTCTTTTTCATGCTATTGTAAATGGAATCATTTGCTTAATTTCATTTTTGGATTGTGCATTGTTTATGGTATAGGAATAAAAGTGATTTTTGTGTGTTGATTTTGTATCCTGCAACTTTGCTGTATTCATTTATTAGTTCTAACATTTTTTTATGGACTCCAGGGTGCTTGGGTTTCCTACACGTAAAGTCATGTCATCTACAAACAGAGATGGTTTTACTACTTTTCTAATTTGAATGCCTTTTCTTTCTTTTTCTTGCCTAATTGCTCTGGCTAGAACTTCTAGTATGGTGTTGAATAGAAGTACTGAAATTGGGCATCTTTGTCTTGTTCCTGATCTTAGAGGAAAAGCTTTCATTGTTTTACTTTGAGTATGATCTTAGCTATGGAGTTTTCATATATCGTATTTATTATGTTGAAGTAGTTTCCGTCTATTCCTAGTTTGTAACAAAAGGGTATTGAATTTTGTCAATTGCTTTTTTTCTGCATCAAATTTTGAGATGATTATATCATTTTTCCCTTCATTCTGCTAATGTAGTGTATTACACTGATAAGATTTTCATATGTTAAACTATCCTTTCACTCCATGAATAACTCCTACTTGGTCATGGTGTATAACCCTTTTAGTGTATGATGTTCCATTCAGTTGCTAGGGTTTTGTGGAGGATTTTCACATCAATATAATAGATATTGGTCAGTAGTTTTCTTAGAGTGTCTTTGTTTAGCTTTAGTATCAGGTGATGTACCTTTAGCCTTTTTTAAAAACATATTTCGCATTCTAAAAGAACATGATCTTGATGAGCTAATGTTTCGACTCAGGCTCATAGAGTTTTAATTCCATTTCCTGCCAGCTTGTTTTACATAACTTTGATTAAGCAGTTGGCCATCCTGTGGAATTTACAGGAACTCCATTGTGTTATATTGCTTTAGATTGGAGTTTATTGTGGGACAGGTACATTGGATCTTATGGATAAGTTTACGTTACTGAAGATTCATTATTAAGATTGGTGAGATACTGCTGGGAGTCTACATAATTTTTATCATAAATCTAGTTTTTTACCTTTTACTAATTGACCAGTTCTCTTTATAATGCCTGGATTATTTTAGTATTAATGCAAACATTTAACATAGAAATAATTTCAGCTTATCCTGCCTAGCTTTTATAAGCACCATAAAGCTTCTGGTAACATAGACATGTTAGTCAGATATTTGTGACCAAACATGCCGCTTCTCTAAAATAAATCCCAGAATTGCAAGATACCTCTCCGGTCTACCCTATAACTAGTGGCTATCTAGCCCATACTGAAAAATTGTAAATGAAAAAAAAGGCACCGTTTTTTGTTTCTTTTTAGCATTATGATTAGGGTTTAAGGCTTAAAACTTTTAAGAAATTCATGTTTGTTTTTTCAAGTTATCTCTTCATGCAAATTTAAGTTTATTTCCTCTATCTAGTCTTTCTTAGAATAATTCTTGAGACACTTGCCCTTTTTTCCACCTCCCACTGCTTTCTCTACTCTGTCCCACCATCTCCACTCCTGCCTACATCTTGTGCCTAAGGCCTGTTTTAAAAACAGAGCTCCAACTGTAGTATTTTCCCCATTCATTCCCTATTTTTAATTTTCAAAATGACAGATTGCTGCCTTTGATAATGAATCTGACATTGACAAAAATAAGGCTTTATTTATGAATTTTTAGTTCTGAATTTATTTCAGAATCTAGCTTGTCCTTTTCCTATTAATTATAGTCTACTTAGAAGCTAGAAAAATTTTACCCGAAAAGGGAATTGAAACATCCGTATCTATAATGAGTTCAAAATAACAATTTCTTGAGTAAATTGCAGATGTTATCCATGCTGAACTCAGTGTGATGCTGATATCCTATGCCTGAGTAGAATTTACTGTGAATTTTTTGTTAGAAGCCTTCCAGAGTATGTGCACCTTTAAGGCATTGGATTAGCTTTGTAAAAGATACTTAACAAGTATTACTTTTTTCAAAAAATTTATTTTGTTTATTTATTTATTTTTGGCTGCGTTGGGCCCTCATTGTTGCACACGGGCTTTTCTCCAGTTGCAGCAAGTGGGGGCCACTCCTCGCCACAATGCATGGGCCTCTCATTGCGGTGGCCTGTCCTGCTGCAGAGCATGAGCTCAACTGTTGTGGCTCGTGGGCTCCAGAGTGCAGGCTCAGCAGTTGGGCACATTGGCTTTGCTGCTCCGCGGCACGCGGGATCCTCCCGGACCAGGGCCCAAACCCGTGTCCCCTGCATTGGCAGGTGGACTCCCAACCACTGTGCCACCAGGGAAGCCCCACAAATATTACTTAATGACATATTTCTTAATCCTTCTACTTAGGACTGTATCTGTTATCTTCTATCACGAATGTAAAGTTCCAGTGTCTTTCCCACTGCTCTGACCCCAGTGGTTCCTGTTTATCTCTTAGCCAACAAGACCAGAAACAAAGGGTTGGATGCAGAAAATGAGTTTGTTATAAAATGAATCACTGGTGGCTTTGGAGTCAACCCTTATCTCTCTTTCTATCAGATTAGTGTATTGGATGGCTAAAGTTCATTTTTCAGCTTTAATTTGTGGATTTTTTTTCCCTCTCAAAAGATACTTTGCTATAAAGAATGCCTTACTCTTTTTCATTTTTTGTACCCTGAACATTTAGATTTAAAGACTTAGTTCAAACAGAATAGTCTAGTTTAGGAATATCACAGTAGGATTACCAGTTCTTAAGATAATAAAACATAATGCTTTTTGGATGATCAGAAATCATTTTAGAATCTTTCAGGACCTTTGGGGCATTTGCATTAGTATCAGTTCATATAAAGACTCTATATATGAAAGGTTGAAGGTATTGAACTGAATTTACTCTGACATACTTAAAAACAACAACTTGACTGAGAAGGACAATACTATATGATATTTATATGTGGAATCTAAAAATCAAAAACAAGCTCATAAATACAGAGAACAGGTTAGTGGTTGCCAGGGGGCGAGGGGATGGGTGAAACCGATGAAGGGAGTCAAAAGGTACAGACTTCAAGTTATAAAATAAACAAATCATGGGGATATAATGTATAGCGTGGTGACTGTAGTTAGTAATGCTTATTCCATATTAACAGTTGCTAAGAGACTAGATCTTAAAAGTTCTCATCACAGGAAAAAAAATTGTGTTAACTGTTTGGATATTAACTAGACTTATTGTGGTGATCTTTTCACAACATATACAAACGTTGAATCATGTTGTACACCTGAAACTAATGTTGTATGTCAGTTATACCGCAATAAACAACAACAACAACAAAATCTGGTATCTCGTTTGCTTAACATTCCTTTCATGTGCTCATAAAAACAATGTAGACTATTGGGGAAATTTTTAAATGATTTTGCTTTCTCACTTATTTTGGAGTCAAACATTTTAGTGTATTATGTGACATTTTAGGCTTTCTAGTCATTTTACCTGAACCAAAAAAAGAGAGAGACTTCTGAATACTTGAAAAATTATGTATTCATAATGATCATGATGCTGGTAAATCAAACCATCTAATTTTAGTATTTCTCACTTTACATAGTTGACAGCATAGAATAATAGCATATAACATCTTTACCAAAAAAATGTTTAAGGTAGTTTTCCAAAGAGAATTTTGTTTTAATATATTTTCTTTTGCCATAGCAGTGAACTAGTACTATAAAATAAAAATTTTATGTAATTTAATGCATCAGCGGCCTTAGGTATTTATTAGTCTTGGCCAAAAAGCCCATGTTCATGGTAAGACATAAATTTGAGAAATTATTTACTTGATTTTTTGCATCAATGTGCTATCTTTCATGTTAGGTCTATCATTTGGCAAGTGTACGCTTACGTGATTTATGTTTAAAACTGGATGTTTCGAATGAGTTAAGAAGGAAGATATGGACATGTTTTGAATTCACTTTAGTTCACTGCCCTGATCTGATGAAAGACAGACATTTGGATCAGCTCCTCCTTTGTGCCTTTTACATCATGGCAAAGGTAACGTATAAGTTGGGGGAAGCTCTTTGCCGTAGTTACCTGTATTTGAGGCCTGAGGTGAAAATCTGTTGCACTTGATTGTTAGTTTGCCTTAAGTGCTACAAGCCAACAGTGGTAAATTCCAGCTACTGTATCTATTTCTATGGACTCTTCATTACTTTCTTTTTTTTTATTTTATAAATTTATTTATTTTATTTATTTATTATTTTTGGCTGTGTTGGGTCTTCGTTGCTGTGTGCGGGCTTTCTCTAGTTGCAGAGAGTGGGGGCTACTCTTCCTTGCGGTGCGTGGGCTTCTCACTGCAGTGGCTTCTCTTGTTGCGGAGCATGGGCTCTAGGCACACGGGCTTCAGTAGTTGTGGCACATGGGCTCAGTAGTTGTGGCTCACGGGCTCTAGAGCGCAGGCTCAGTAGTTATGGCGCATGGGCTTAGTTGCTCCGCGGCATGTGGGATCTTCCTGGACCAGGGCTCGAACCCATGTGCCCTGCATTGGTGGGTGGATTCTTAACCACTGCGCCACCAGGGAAGTCCCCAAGCCTGAACTTTTAAGGTAGTAAAAGTCATAAATGGTAGTGGATTTTAGTTATTGAGTGGCCTGAGGTTAATGGCTTTCTGCAAGACTGCTCTCAATTCTAACCTGTAATTGAAGTTTTTGTTCAGAGCCATTTTTCTTTTAAAAGCAGTTGATAAATGCAGTTCTTATTTTCCTTAGGTAACAAAAGAAGAAAGAACTTTTCAAGAAATAATGAAAAGTTATAGGAATCAGCCTCAAGCTAATAGTCATGTGAGTTACATTATTTTTCCTCCTGTCCCAAAATAGATTTGTACTGTTTCTCTGCTGACAAGTCATGTAAAAGGTAAACTTCTTTTCTAGTTTTGCTATAGATTTTTTTGGTTTAATGGACACCATTAAACTCGAGACAGTTTTAATTAAAAAACAGGTTTCAGTGGAAGCCAAAAATCTTGCAGTTTCTGACTAATCTATATTATTTATTTATTTATTTATTTATGGCTTCATTAGGTCATCATTGCTACACACGGGCTTTCTCTAGTTGCGGCAAGTGGGGGCTACTCTTCGTTGCTGTGCGCAGGCTTCTCATTGCAGTGGCTTCTCTTATTGCGGAGCACAGGCTCTAGGCACACGGGCTTCAGTAGTTGTGGCACACAGGCTCAGTAGTTGGCTCATGGGCTCTAGTGCGCAGGCTTAGTAGTTGTGGCACATGGGCTTAGGTGCTCCACGGCATGTGGGATCTTCCCGGACCAAGGATTGAACCCATTTCCCCTGCATTGGCAGGCGGATTCTTAACCACTGCACCACCAAGGAAGTCCCTATATATTATATATGCATATACTTCTCACACGTTCTCTTATTCCATTTGTTCATTTATTTGAGTAGGGACATTTTTCACTAATGAAAAATATTTATAATAATAATATTCTTTAATCATATAAGACTTGATTCTCTGATGATGTTTAAATCCAGTGAAATTTGAGGATATATTAAGTCTAGCTTCTTTTTCCATCTGATAAGAATCTTAATGTTTGCATCTTTGAATAGATATCAGGCATTTCTGATATAATAGCCCTGGTGAGAATTCTGTACAGCCTTTCAGTCATGGAAATATAAAATGTTAGCGTGACGTGGCACATAGTAAGCATTTAATAACTGTTAGCTCTATATTATTGTTATTATTGTAGCTGAAGAACACAGGATTAGGTTACCTTAAGGCCTTGGTCATTCAAGAACCTGATTGCTCTGCTCTAAAGGAGCATAATGGCCTCTTCTCTGGCCCAGTGATCTGCCACCTTAGACAAAAAGAGAGATGTGGTAGCTCAGATATCCCTGGCCCCAGTACTAGTAGCCATACCCCATTCTATCAGAGCCCCACAGATAGTTTCACTTCTTAAGCCCCAAATACACTGCTAGCAATATAGAGATATTAGAAGAGCCAAGTATAGGCATTTCTTACATCCTGTGACAAGGTGGAAGAAAAATTCCCTTAGGAACAGAGCTTAGAGAGGTTCAGAGTATCCCTTAAGATCATTAAGTTAATGTGGGTCAAAAATGGTTTAAGCCACAGCTTCCTAAATATTCTCTCAATACCGATATCCATAGGATGAGGGGGAATGGATCATTCCTTTCAGCTACATTGGAGGTTAAAAACAGTTTAGGGGCAGGGAGGGGAACAGATTTTCATGTGGCCATGTGAAAGGAGATGGGCGTGGGTTGGGAGCAGGAAAACAAGCCCCAGTGAGATCAAATGAGTCTCATGTAAGAAATTAAAAAGAAGAAGGAATAGGTTCATATCTTTTAAGTTGCTTTTATTTGGCAAAATCTGCTCATCAGTGTTTAGTTGCTCCTTACTTAATTCTTCTATTTTGTAACCTTCTGCAGTGGTTTTATTTCAGGTGGTAAGCTCTGCTTCAGTATCCCCTCTTCTAAGATGTTTGCCGTAATCTGCATTTACCAAGGGCTACTAACATCTTGCCCTTGGTTATCACCCATACAGACAAATACTTTTTAATTGGCTTGATATCTTGTCCTTATTTTGGTTTTGCTTAACCTGTGCCTCTTTGTGACTCAGCAGTCCTTTTTGTCCCCTCTGATCTATATAGGTTTACAGAAGTGTACTGTTGAAAAGTATTCCAAGAGAAGTTGTGACATACAATAAAAACCTAAATGGTGATTTTGAAATGACAGATTGTGGTAAGTTGCCCAATTTAAGATTCTATATGTAGTACACTATTGGTTACATTGTATATAATACAGTGGATGTCCTGGAGTTAATTGTGTAGGTGGGGTGGATAATGCATATGTGTTGGAAAGAAGCAAATGACTTTGAGATAAGTATGGGTCAGGTACCTCCCTCCACAGAAGTTGTGTATTGAAACCATTAATTTATCCCATGTTAACTGTGTTTTAGAAGTTTTCTAGTATACTTATACACTTTAATAAAAACTCATAAAAGACAATAAAATTCAAGACTAAATCTGAATGACAGGGAAAGTAAGATAGCTGTCAGTGATCTGCCTGTGGAGAACATTAAGGAAATGTCCTGGTCATTAATAAGTGTATAGGTATTCTGCCACCGTCAGCAAAAGCAAGGTCGCCACCTTGTTACTACCATCATGCTAAGACTTCAGGCACTAGTAATCTTTTTGAAAGAAAGAATCAAATGTTCAGTATTCATATGTTGATAAGTTGTAAAAATGCCTTTTCAGCCCATCTCTTTTCCTTGTCTCATCTGTCTCCTTTTCCTTGTCTCACTTTCCATTACTTAATGTATATATATGTGTACATGTGTATATAAGTACTGTAATTTATTTAATTTCACAGTGTGGGACTTTTAGGTTGTTTCCAATTATACACAGCTTTGTGAGGAACATCATTGTAGGCTGATCTTTGGTCCACATCCTTAGGGTAAATTCTTAGAGAAAATTGACTGGGTCAAAGACATTTTTTTTTTCATTACCCAAATATCCATGATCATTATGGTGTCTACTGGGATCTGAACTTTTAAGATCTTAACAAAAACATTCTTTAATAATAATGTCCTAGAATCTGATCCCATCTAAGGTTACACAGGCCAAACTCAGTTCTTTTTACATAGATAAATTATCCCTGAGCCTTTTCAAGGCAATGAGAAGAAGTACATTAGGAAGTAAACCTGACAAAATACAAAAAAAAAAACCTACCCGGGGGCTTCCCTGTTGGCGCAGTGGTTGAGAGTCCGCCTGCCGATTCAGGGGATGCGGGCTCGTGCCCCGGTCCGGGAAGATCCCACATGCCACGGAGCAGCTAGGCCCGTGAGCCATGGCCGCTGAGCCTGCGCGTCCGGAGCCTGTGCTCCGCAATGGGAGAGGCCACAACAGTGAGA